TAGAATTGTAAATAGGTAACATATTCACATGGTTCAAATTTCAAGAAGTACAGAGGCACCAGGGTGGCTCAGTCAGTTGAGTGTCTGACTTTGGCTTGGGTTATGATCTCATGGTTTGTGAGTTTGATCCCCACATTGGGCTCGCTGCTGTCTGTGCAGAGCCCACTTCAGATCCTCTCTCTCTGTCCCTCCCCTGTTTGCACTCTCTCAAAAATAAATAAAACATTTTTTCGAAAAGTACGAAAGGTTATACAGTAAAAATCTCACCTGCCCCAGACCACCAAGGTTACCAGTTCTTTTATATTCTTTGTATATAGGAGTGTGAGTGTGTGTACATATTTTTTCACTTTAATTACACAAATGGTAACACTCTGTTCCTGCTATTTTTTTTAATGTGTATTTATTTTTGACAGAGAGAGAGAGAAAGCACGCACGCGCACATGAGCAGGGGAGGGGCAGAGAGAGAGGAAGACACAGAATCCGAAGCAGGCTCCAGGCTGTGAGCTGTCAGCACAGAGCCCGATGTGGGGCCTGAACTCACAAACTGTGAGATCGTGACCTGAACCGAAGTCGGACGCTCAACAGACTGAGCCACCCAGGCGCCCCCGTACCTGCTATTCTTTACACTGATTTTTTTTACTTAGCAATACATTCTGGAGATAGTTCTGTATCAGGACACAAAGAGCCTTCTCATTGCATTTTATGGCTCGATTATGTTCTTTTAACCAGTCTCCCAGCTGATGGGTACTTTGTTTGTATCCATGAAGTTCAAGGAATGTGGAGAACCGTACCTAGTCCAGTGTAGCTGAACGTGGAAGCCCCTTCCATGTTGGTGACGTTACTCATAACCAGAAACGTAGCTCAATTTTAATGCTGGGAGCAGTAAGCCTGATGAGAGGAAAACAGATACACACAAAAAAGCATCATCTGGCCATTTTCTCGGTAGTCTGCTGGTCTAACCTCCAATAACATATTAAGTAGTTTCTTGCTTTCGGGTTGCCTCCACCCATGTCTCTTCATCATGGTCTTTAAAAATATATATATTTACTCATTTTGAGGGAGGGAGGAGCAGAGCGAGAGGGAGAGAGAGAATTGCAAACCGCAAACGGGCTCCGTGCTGACGGCGCTGCAGGGCTCGACGCAGGGCTTGAGCTCAAGAACTGTGAGAACATTGGGACGCCTGGGTGGCTCAGTTGGTTAAGCGTCCAACTTCAGCTCAGGTCACGATCTCGCGGTCCGTGAGTTCAAGCCCCGCGTCGGGCTCTG